CTCTCTCTCTCTCTCTCTCTCTCTCTCTCTCTCTCTCTCTCTCTCAGCTCTCATGGAGGTTTCTCACCCTGCCAGACATATTTGTGCAATATTTCTTGGGGCTGTAAAATTAATCTGTCAGCCTCTCTGGCAACGAACCAATTGTAGCCTACGTGACATTTTCACACATAAAAAATAAAAGAAGTTAAAACACTAATTAAGGCACTGGGGATGTTAAGATTCCCTATAATGACCAGTCCACAAGGAGGCACTTGCCAAATTGTGGTCATTTAGTTCTCTCTCGGCTGTTATGTTTGTCTTTGTGGCAGGTGTCCATGCAGCCACAAAGCCCTCTGTGTATAGGGCCGGTTAGGGAAAGTCAGAGTGTTACAGTAAGTTGACTAAAAGGATGTTTTCTTCATAGTATTATTTGATTTTCTTTACCAGTGCGTCACAACCAATGGTGGGGAGTAGCTCAAGAGTAAAGCTGCCGTAACTTTGACATACACTCCCACTGTCTTCAATGTGCAGCGAGGAGCCGGCCTCATCAAAATCTACATCTCAGTCAAACCAGGTCCTAAGGTCCAGGTGATGAGGTGCATTCTACAGGGGCAGAGTAACCAGGCGTCTCCGTGCCACGCTGTCAGTTTGGCCTGCAACGTATTCACGGTTCCTTACTTTTCTTGCAGCTCGCTCTGAGCATCGAAATGATTTGATGGTGTGATGCCAAGGCTTTGCCCGCCTCTTTCCCTCCGCCACCACAACATGGAACAATTAGAACAATAGAGTATGAAAGGGAAGTGGAGAGTGCAAGAAGCCAATGCGGTGTTGTCTCCAGCCATGGATCTGCCTCTTGTTGCTGCTTAGTGATAATAATTCACACACACCGGCAGAGTTTATGGTCTTAATGAACATGCGTTCTGCTTTGAGACAAAGCAGCATCTACTGCAAACGGCACGACGAACATGTTGGAGATAAAATGATGAAAATGAATGAATCATTTTCACTAACGTGGTTGCCATGGTGCATTTCTTGCTCATTATTCATGCTTTTTTATTTTTTATAAAGGTCTTGAGCCTCCAATGCTGGTGTGTTTTGCACTGTCACAACAAAAGGAGACCGACACATCATTATTATTATCTATTTCTAAAACATTGCTGTTTTTTTCTTATATACAGTATATATACATATATATACATATATATATATATATATACGTATGTAGATATACACAATGTTTTTCATGAGCCAGATCATCACCAACAGGCTTGCATTGGTCGGTGTGCAGCGTGGAGAGAAAAAAACAGACAGACAGAGAGAGAGAGAGAGAGAGAGAGAGACAGAGAGGAGTGTTGAGCAGTTGAAGCATCATCTATGACTGCCATTTGTAGCCGGAGGGAGAATACAAGCACTGACGATGCGTGTCCCCAATAACCCTGGAGCTGCTTAAATATGTATAAGAGAGCTGAGGTGCAATTGATTATGGCAGGTGAGTAAAGATATGTGAGCTGTAATCCAGTTTGAAAAGACAAAACATTTTCACGTGTCAGTCGAAACTGATTCATGTCTGCCCTGATATCGTTTAGTATATTACGTTTTTGGCTATAAACATATCAAAGGGGCTCTTTAACACTGTAATCCCCGATAATAACACTGTGCACCATCATTTTGTTGTTGACAAATTAAGATAATCACGCTATTTCTGAGCGTGATTTCGCTTTTTCTTTTTTGGCATCAGTTGTAAATGTCTTTGCCGTCTCCCTGTTTTTCTCATCTTGCTGACCATGATATAAAGTGTTGCAAACCGATTGTCACGCCGCTGATACAGTAAGCAGACAGTTTATGACCTCCATCAACAGGCATCAAAGTGACAGACAAGGTCAGGGGATCCAGGTCAGGTTTATTCCCGCCGTCAACATGCTTCCAAGCAATTAAAAGGCAACAATGTAGAGGCACGTCCCTGGGGGGACGGGGACGGGGACGTCAGACCCCTAAAAGCTATCCTATCACAGCCTGTATTTGTTGTGGCACACATAGTGTCCTAATTCCCTTTGTTTCACTCCGGGTGCTCACGCTGTCACAGATTGTTCCTTTGTGTTTTCTGTTTTAATTGTTTTGTTCTTCCCTCAAATTGAAAGATTATCATGGGCTTTTGTGTGCCTACAAATGTTATCCCCCAATTGGAAAAGGGGTCTATTTTTGGATCCCTCACTGTGAAAGTTGACACCATTTTTTCCTGCTGCGCGTGCACGAAGCCTGTGCATGAAAGATGCTTTTTTTCCCTTTTTTTTCAAATGTGCATTTGCAGATGAGCGGGCGCAGCATTCCAGCTTTATGTCGCACACAGTAGGATCTTGTGCACGTATTGTCTATGATAGATATGTTTTTAATGGTGCTATTCAGTCTTTATCCTCCCATCACTTTGATGATTACACTTTCTAATAATATTCTATGGATGTCTTTGTCTGAAGGCGTTTGAGGCCTAAGCTATAAGCACTTGATCAATGAAGAGAGGACGAGCTATGGATATTTTTTTTCCCGCCACTCCTCCTTAGCAAGCAATGCCTGGCAACATTACATGGATATTTCCACACAGCGGCCAACAGAGAAAGGGCTAATGTGCTCTCCCATAAACTCTAGCGTCCTCACTAGGGAGTCGCTCATGAATCTCCCCTCTAATGGGTCAGTCCAGTGGCCAAGCCCTTGCAGGAAGGTCAGAGCTGTGTCTGTGCCATCCGTCCACCCTTTACAGACGTCTCTTTTGCCAAGTGGAGCTTTGGTCCTCCTTCTAA